CTGCCTGGGCGGGCGTGAGGCGGCCTTCAGGGGCCTCGTCTTCCCTTCTTGACTAGCAGGAGCCTCTCGGAACAGAGCCCACCTGCTGGGTCTCTTAGGGTCATCAGGACTGTGCTCCCTTGGGGGGTGTGCTACACCCCCCCTCCCCTACCCCCATAAAGGCCCTTGCAGGCCTGATTGTCCTCATGTTCTGCAGATGCCGAGAGCCGCCGGCACATTTTCCTCACCACAGTTTCTAAACCAGATTCTTCTCCCATAAAGTAGCTCCTCAACCCTACTCAGGTTGGCTTTGTGGCCGGTGCCTGTCACCCCATGGAGGATTATTTCAAACGAGAATAAAGTCCGGCAATATGAACGCGGGCCTTTCATTCAAGGCTTCCAAATCTATTTTAATCAAACCTCCCAGCGATGTCTCAGAAAACTTGGCTGCATTACCCATGTCTTATGAGTCACAAAACCGAAAATAAAAGCATGCTTTTGCATGAATAGGTTATGGGTGATAGGCTGTAGTGTCCCCGGCGTCTAAATCGGGGGATCCAAGGGTTCTGTTTTTGTCCACTTTCCGTGATGTCTGTGTTCCAAGACTGGACGCAGAAGACCCTGTGTTCAGCCGGACAACTGGTGGGCGGAACGCCTCGTCCCCCAGACTCCCTGGAAGGTCAACCAAAGAGCTCACACTCAAGCTCAGCGTGACCCAGAGTTATATTTAACTGGTTCAATAATGTGCAACAGCGAGACCATTGACATCTTCTGTAGAAGCTGCTGTGTCTCTGTCGGGGCGCCGAGCTCACGCTCTCCACATCTTGTCCTCATGCGGGACCCGGCATGTGAGCAAAACAGGGCACCAACCTGCGCGCACTATTGCAGGGAAGACTCGTGAGTTCAGCCACGAAAACACCACGCCAGTGAGGAGACAGAAAATAATCTTTGCTTGTTCTATAGAAAACATTAGATTCGTTAATAAAATTATAGATTTTTGGAGGTGGCACGGAGACTTTTTTTTTCTTTTTAAACAGGAGAGGCCTGCTGCGCCATGGGGCCAGCTCCCTGGCTGGGGATGGAACTCCTACTGCAGTGGCTGCCCGTAGCGTCCTAGTGCTGAGACTTAACCCCTTGCACCACCAGGGAGGCCTGACACGGAGATTTAAAAAGAAATAAAAGCCTATCCTCCCCCCAAATTTAACCGATTATGGAGTTACTTGTTCCTTAAAAAAGTTGACATCTCTCTTCAGAGGATGTGGGTTGAAGTATTGATGGCAGCAGAGGAAGAGCTGTTGATTCTGCTTGTATCCATCTGGCCCACTTTCTAGTACATCATATTCCTCTTCAAGCATTTATGAGGTCCCCTGAGAAACAAAGAAATATAATTATAGTTAGCTTATTTACTTTTTGACAGTTTTAAGAACTTTTTTTGAAACCTCCATCATGGAACACCCCTTATTTGATTTGGAGCACATTAGCTGAGCAAACATTTCTATCAAAATAAATATAAATCTGATTATATTTGGTGGGTTTTAAAAAGCACTCAATGTCTTAGACCAAAACCTAATGTTTGGATTCCTTCATTGCTCCTTCCCTAATATCAGCCCCCTAAGCATGCTTGACTTGTAGCTAGCATTTATATTGGGGGAGGAATTTCAGTCCAATCCAAAGACCTCATAAATACCTCAGTGGAACAGGATATTTAATATTCTCCGCCAAGTTTTTGTTTTTCCTTTATATAGACAAATGCATTTGGTTCTCACTGTCTGAAGGACCTATCCAGGCATTTTTCCGGGACGGGTATTGAGCTTGTGGGGACCCAGAGCTGTCACATCATTTGCACATGGCAAGGATGGACTTTTTTGCCCACAATGTCTCAGGTGGAACATTAGTTGCTGGTGGTGCAGAGAATAAGACAAAGGTCTTGCCCTCGAGAATGTCAAGATCTCAGGGAAGAAAAACAAACATTGAAACAAAAGAAAAACCTAAAAAAGCCATTAAGATGTGGTCTGATCTGAGCAAACTGTGGCAGAAACACAAAGCAAATATGATTGCAATGGCGGGAGAGTGGTGAGAGGAAGCCTGTTTCACCTGCGCTCTGACGGATGCGTCTCCAACTGCCAGTGTCAGCCAGAGAGAACAGAGCAGCCTGTGTTTCAGGGAGTGAAGCGTTCATTCTCGAGGATTACGGTAGAGACACAGGACAAACTCTTGAGATCAGGTTAAGGAAACGGAACAAACTATTTTGACCACGTAGGTTAAGAACGAAAATGCACGGAGGATGTCAGGGATGAGGCGGGATACTCTGCCTGCAGTGGTATGAGTGGACTGCCTGTCCATAGAGCAGATACTGTCTCTTCAATCTTTACAGGAAAATTATTATGCCGCGACGGCGATGCTAAGATTCTTAAAAAAGTAGGGCTGTTAAAGATAATACGAATTTGTTCACCACAAGGTAATCACATTAACAGATGAAATATCTGTTCCATGTAAAAATGACCTCTGTCCTTTAGGAATTTTTCTATTTTATTAAAGATTTTTTTTTTTTAAGATTTATTTATACAAGCACTGGGTACAGTCAGAGGTGCCAGAGGGTGAGAGAATCCACCAGAGCCAGAGCGGGGAGCAGAGCAGGCAGAAGGACCGAAGGACACTGCTGAGGGGAGCAGCGGGCGGCAGGAGGGGTCTGCGCGCCAGAAATTTTTCCATTTTAAATGAGTTGAGTCTACAAGAAAAGAGTAAATAAAATGACATGAATCCTAGTCTAAAACAGGTGTAGCGGTAAACATTCTCAGCATTGATTGCGGCAGGATTCACCTCATCCCCAGCAGGAGCTTCATCCAGAGAGCGCAGAGCATGCCGAACAGGGTTACCAAAACTGACTGCATGTTGCATCACAAAGCAAACCTCAGCGAATTTCAAAGGATTCAAGGCTTTCAAAGTACATTCTTGGACCACAGTGAAACTGAGTTAGAGATCAACAAACAAAAGCAAGCTAGAAGCCTCCGCAGCCCAGACTGCTAGGAAGTTAAACAACAGGCTTCTGAGTAATGCATGACTTAAAAAAAAAAAAAATAGAAATTAGAAAATGTTTTAACTAAATGACAAGGAAAATATAAACTATCAAACTGGGGGGGATGCAGTTAATAATAGTGTTTAGTGATGAGAAAATATATTATTGAGCAAATGAATGTAATAAAGATTCCAGCAGAACTTCCAGCCCAGGTGCAATGAACACTCCAACGCAGGCATCACCAACAAGTTTGCTTCCTTACAGCTCCTCCCTCTCAAGATTCACGGCCAGGGCCTCAGCACCCTTATCCACAAGGTCGGGCAGCCGGCCAAGCTGGTCTGTCTCTCCAAGGCCATCCCCGAATGCCTGCATCTTCCCCGCCTTGCTTTGCCCCCTGAAGTACCGCTGTACTTCCTCTGCCTGGGTAAAAGGCTCGAATTTATATCTACAACATTTAGGAGATTTATAGCATTCAATGAATATTTTAAAAAGGAATTAAGGTTAAAAATCAGTGACCCAGCCTCTGTCCTGCAGTCAGAGTCCACGCTTAGCTACTCTTTAGACTTGTCTGTGCCTCTCTTTGCTTCTTCATAGTCCAGGACAGGACTAGAGGGGCTTGGTGACAGGTGTAACACACCTGAGGAGCTGTGAACCCGCACCCCCGGGTCAGACACAGTGGTGTACACTAACACTGCCTCTATTAAAAAGTACAATTTAAAAATAAATAAATAGGGCCTCCCCCTGTGGCGCTGCGGGTTGAGCGCAGCGCTGTGAAGCTGTCCGCAGCCTCTGCAGTGAGGGTTCAATTCCCAGCCAGCCAGGGAGCTACCCACATGGCGCGGCAGACCTCTCCTGTCTCCCCGCTGCTCCCCTCAGCAGTGTGTTTCACTCAGTCGGCCTGATCTGTTCCCCGCTCTGGCTCTGGCGAGTCCTCTCAACCCCCATACCTCTGGCCTGTACCCCAGTTTTTGTATGCATAAATAAATACATCTTAAAAATAAAAAAGGAAAAAAAAATTCTTTAAAAAATAAAAAATAAATAATAAACGATCTAATCTAATCAAGCAAGTATATTAAAAAAAAAAAAAAAGAACACACATCAAACTCAGGACAGCAGACACAAGATCATAACATCTATTTCTGTCTCTCTGGAGAATCCCGACTCATGAACACGAGTTAGGGAAATACCGGGGGAGCACTCTGCTGCCTGAGGGCGGCTGAGCTAGCGCAGGACGGAGAGGATCCGAGGACAGGGCAGGCTGCAAACGATTCCATGTGTCACGCATGTGCGACGTCACATGCAACACACTGTTGGGTACACATATGACATTGCAAGGCGGGCCTTTCTGTGCTGAGGATAATGCGGTCGTCGCCTGATCCTGACGACCTCTGTGGCGGGCAGGAAGGAGGCCTGCAGAGGGCGGTGCCGTCCCGGGGGAGACGAGGCTGGAAACACACAACTAACTGATCGTGAAAAGTGGCTACTGAGCTGGTCGAGATCACTTGGCATTGGCTCGTGCGGAGGGTGGGAGACAGCAACTTCCTGCGCCGATTTACCGACTCTTCCATCAGCATTCTGTTTTGTATCATTTGTCTCCATTTCACGGAAATTTTCTTTTCAGAACGCTCTCCCGGCCCACACTTGGGGTAGCACACTGGTTTGATTCATTCAGCAGCAGCCACTTGGATGAAAAGATGCAGCAGGAGTAAAATACAGCTCTACACTTGAAAAAACCGTGAAGCCATGTGACACGTCAGACAGACACACACGGTGATTGCTCATAAGCTAAAAGTGGCTCAGACGCCCCACCCACAAACGGCCACCCCAAAAATGCCCAACCCCAAACTCCCTACCCACAAAGGCCCCACCCGCCAAGGCCCCGCCCACACGGCCTGGCAGGCGCAGTCACAGGGTGACTATTAAATCATAAAGGGATTTGCACTGTCATAGCAAAGACTCATCTTAAAGCCCCATGAGAGTGTGGCGGGCCATGCAGGCACACACGAGCCTTACGCATACACACCCAGACACTCTCCTACTCACACACGTGCACACGCATGCACACCCATGCCCAGGCCTGCACACACAATACACACGCCGTCTCACACACACCCCTATCGCTCGCTCTGCACATTCCCAGACGCCTCTTTTCTCTGGGCGGCTGCAGATAGGATTGCAGAGCCCGGGGCTTGGGGTGCAGGACAGATGCCAGCTGGAGGGACGGGGCGCAGGCGGGGTCCCCGGGATGAAAGGGCAGACGCCAGCTTCCATGTTTCTGTCGTCTACTGTCTCTGTTTATCCTTCAGATACAACCTATAAAGCGACTGTTCATCTACTTAGTCCTGGGTAAGACGCAGGCATGCAAGCCCGATCTCAAATTTAGTTTGTCGCTTGCCGTCGTGAAAGGAGATGTGATTTATGTTTATAATAAAGTACTTGAAATGTCATTTAATAGGAAAACAAATGGCGGTGGCAAGCTCACCAGCCGAAAAAAAAAGAAAGGTGTTTGGAAGTTTGAGCTCAACATTTTTATCTCATCACATTTGAAGTTACCTATTTTTAATCTAATTGTAAAAATGATCTGTCTTCATAGATCTTTTCCACTTTTTTTTTTTCGAGAATTCATCAGCTGGGTTAATGATGACACAGAATTTTAATATATGCATTAAACATTTAAGTTTTAATATGTTAACATGTCATAAGATGTGAATAATAACAATGTTTTATATATGAAGTGAAAACATATTTTATGTGAGAAATAGTTATAATGCCGGGGAAGTGACTTATATCCATAACAATTTCATTTAAATATTGCTTTGGCTCCCCATCTATCTTAGATGCAATTTTATAGGCCTTTTAAAAAATTCATTTCAGTGTGACCTCTCTGAGGCCGCAACTTAGCGCCTCTAGACCCAAATGCAATTGTGCTGGTGCTGCCTCCTATTCAATTACCTCTCCAGTAGCCCGTTGGAGCCGCACGCCCCAGCCCCGGACTCCCCAGGAGCGAGGACAGAGGTTCTGCCCTAAGGTTGAGTCTCTGCCTGGGTTGAAACCCCCCGAGTATGAGCTCCTCCTGGCCCAGCGTGGACTTGGGACGCTTGATCTTATGGCCTAGCTCTACCTGTCCACACCCTCCCCCGCCCCCCACCGTGATTTGAGTTGAACCCCTAGGGAGAGGAGAAACAGCAAAGCCTTGGTGGGGTTCACCCCTTCTTGACTTGGTAAGGGTGAGTCTCTAGTTTAGCATGTACGTAAACCAAGTACATTCAGTGTGTATCTTGAAAGCGTCCTCATATTAGAACTTGTTGAATACCCTGATGTAGGGAAAGTAAAATGTCAGGCTTTTCCACCCTCCTGCCATTAGGGATGATGATGGATCCTGACAGTGGGCGCCTGGAGTGGGGTGTGGGCATATGTGGGTGGGTGCACCTGGGCTGAGACTGGGCCTACGAGGGCGGCGTCATGGGGAACAGCAGAGCGAAAGGAGCAGAGAAGCTGAGGCCACGAGAGAACGCCGGGAGCCGAGAGAGAGAAGACTTGCTGGGGGGCCTGCCAGCCTCCCTCCCGGCCCCCCGGCACCCCTGCCTGCTGTGCACCTGGTAAATCCCTATAAAAGCCTGCAAAAGCCCCCGGGGGCTCCAGGAGTCCACCTTACCCGTCTGCTTGGGTCACAGGGAACCAGCTCTGTCCCTTCCTGCCGCTCCACTGGAGGTATTGACGGCTCTGGTTTGATCACCACACTCATGACTTTCCCCCCAAACTTAATTCCACAGGGAATTGGAGGCTCCCCGGGGGAGCAGGTGCTGGCGTGTGGGACATCCTCTCCCCCCCAGACCCCCGCTCGGGGCTCAGCCTTGCGTGGCCTCCCCCTCGAGAGAGAAGCACAAAGCGCCACACCGAGATGGGCCATGTGGCTTGACATTTCCTCCCTGTGGTTTTGTCATCCTCTGCCTAAAACCAAACATCGTGTTTATAAGGAAAAGAAGCATCCTTGAAATCGCCGCAAAGCGGCTGCAGGACTTCCAGGATCCGTGCAAAACAACAATGCGCTTTGGTAATTTAAGAGCTGATGAATGAAAACATCTGGGTTAAATTTTCCTTACAATTGCACTCGGATTTCTAAACCAAGAAAAATCAGGTTTGGGGGGAAAATCATGAGTGTGGCTCTCAAGCCCAAGAGCCGTCGATCATTCAGGGTATTCAACAAGTTCTCATATGAGGACGCTTTCAAAATCCACTGAACGCGCTCGCTTTGCAGACCTTCTGGACTAGCGAGAAGGAAGCGAAAATATCAGTGTCCCCCACCCCTGACCGCAAGGGACAGTAGAATAGCTTACGGTAACTTCAGGATGAAGTCGGCTTCGTTATTTCAAGCTGGAAACAGGTCCGGCCATCCCAAACGCAAGTGTCCTCATCTGTCTATGCACTACTAGTACTCTCCACACTTACCAGCCAGTATTTGTTGGTTTTATATATATAATATGTATTTTACATCATTTTTGTACCGTGTATGCATTTTCATCTTGGTTATAGTCCCCGTAAAATTCCCACCCCCTTGTTTTGACCCTACTCCCGCCTCCCCCGCTGTAGTGTATCTCTGGTGTATAGTTGTCTGTTGATTTTGCTTTTGACTTTATGACCACCAGTCTTTTTCCTGGTCCCATGTTTGGGTTTTCTAGATTCCTGCTAGGAGTGAGACCATCCGATATTTTTCTTTTTCTTTCTGGCTTATTTCGCTGAGCATGATCCCTTCCAGCGCCATCCGTGCTGCTGCGAAAGGCATGAGTATCTGTTGTTTTGTCACATGGGTGACCTCACCCCGTCTCATCGTCCACACAGCAGGCCACAAATCCTACCAAGCTTGTGCCACGCAACGTGTGTTCCTGCCGGGGAAGGGGAGGCAGAATGTGTCATGGGCGTCGCGGATGATACTGGGGTGGCTGCTCTCAGGGCTCCTGGAGCTGCTGAGTGGAGGGGTTGGTGGTCCTGCCGGGACACATCTTTCTCTTTAAACTGCTCTCACGGCAGCAAACGCATACACGCCCCGTCCTGAGCAGGAGTCAAGAAGGCTTTGACTCCAACTAGGAGGGAGGGTTCTTAAAACCCCATCAGTATCTTCTTCCATGAATATCTTGACAGCATAACTGTCCACAACTTTGCTTTGTCATGCTTTTTACAGTTTTAAATAAAATGCTTTTTAGGTGACTTAAAGATCTTGACTTTAGTGATCTCACCCCGCATTTAAATCACAAGTCCATGGTGCCTCTACCAGAGATTGTCCGAGCTAATTCTCTATCCTGGGTTACTCTCCTTCTGCAGACGCTGCCCTGGGGGTGCCGGCCATGAGATGACCAGCCAGGCTGCACGCAGAGCCCCCGTAACTGCAGTGAAATTGCCATCACACAAGGATGCGCTGCCATACAATGACATTGAATCAGAAACCAGCCGAGACAATGTATTCATTCGGGAGATCCATAAATATTTGGAAATTGAGCAACACGCTTATGGAGGACCCTGTCTCAACAAAAATAATCATGCAACAGAACAGGGAGAATTTTAACTGAATGATTTTTTAAAAGCATATTAATATTTATGGGATGAGGCTAATGGAGTGCGTGGAGAGAAATGTATCCCTTTAAATATGCCTCCACGATAAATCGGCACGTTCACGCTAAGAAAACAGAAGAAAGGAAAAAAGCAAACAAAACGCAGAGCCGCCCAAGGAGTCAGGGGACCAGAGCGAGCCAGCGCCCTAGAAAGCGGAAAAGTAATAAAAGTGGTGGAACCGAAAGCTGATTCTTTCAAAAGACGGATAAAAATGACAACATCTCAGCTGGGGTCGTCAAGGGGAAATAAGGCAGCACCCACATCCCCCAGACCGGGAACGAAAGAGGGGGACTCCCCCCGAGCTGGCGGAAATTAAAAGAATTGACGGGAGCCCTAAGAAAGCTGTTCTGCCAAGAGATTAGACAAATCAAAGGGAGTGACCAAATCCTGGAAAGGCACGCGAGTCTGGAAAGTAAAGAATCCAAATAAAACCATGAGTACCCATCCAGGAGGCGCCTCGTCGCTAAGAAAGCCAGCAGGTAAGTTTCACCCAATAATCCTCAGAAAAAGAAAAGGACGTAGAGGGCCTCCCTGGGGGCCTAGGGGTTGAGTCTCAGGCTGTCACTGCTGCAGCCCAAGTTTGATCCCGGCCAGGGAGCCACCCACAGGGCGCGGCAGACCTCTCCTGCCTCCCCGCTGCTCCCCTCAGCGGTGTACTTTGGTCAAACTGCCTGTTCTGCTCCCCGCTCTGTCTCTGGGGAGTCCTCTCACCACCCCTTCTCTGCACTTCTGGCCTGCACCCCAGTTCTATGCAAAAAAAAAAAAAGAATTTAGATTGTACACTCTTGCGGCATCAACCCACAGTCTCAGGCAGGCTCGGCCTCCTGGCTTCCCGTTCCTGTTCTACTTTGGGGGTACGGAGCCAGTGTCCCCAGATGACCTGGGAAATACTAGGTGCAATGAAGGCATGAATGAAGAGAGAGGGTTGCTAATTATTCAAGACATACATTTTCTGCTAGAAAAAAATCCAAAGAAAGTTTCTAATTATGTTCCTTTTCACAGCCCAGTGTTAGTAACGTATGAGCCAGTTTCTAAGTCGCACGGAGGTTTGGCTTGTGTTAAGAAGACTTAGAAACTGAAAACATCCCCCCTTGTGTTATTCAGCCGAAGAGTCCGCTGTCCCAGAAGATGGGGCTGGAGTAGGCCCTTGGCCAGCACCGTGGGCCGACCTGGAGGTCTGAGGACACAGCAGGGGAGAAGCCACATCCCAGAAGGTGACGATGAAAAGTAAGTTCCTTTTCATGTAATTCACATCACGCCTCCATTTCTTACCACTTGATGCTGAACTTGACCCCGCTCATTCTTGCTTTGTTAGCAGTTCCTGGTAGAACCCTGAGAATTTTTATTTTCAGGGGTCACTGTCTAAAGATTCAGCCTCTGCCTGAAGGTGCAGGTAAGCTGTGTGAGGAAGTGGCCTCATTCCTGCCAGGTGGTTGCTGTCAGCCAGCTAGACGTAGGACCTCCTGGGGGGCTGCCCAGGATGCTGACTGAGGAGGAAAAGCCTGAGTTGGTGAAAGCTGTGCTGGCTCCCCAAAATCAGGTGGGACTGGTGCCCCTTCCTGAGGCATGAGGCCCCAGCTCCCTATGGTGTTCTTACAGGACACCATAAATATAGTCCAGTAATTCCACTCCTCAGTATTGACACATGAATGCAAGAAACGGACTTGAAGGAACTCTCTGCCCTCCTGTGTTCTGTGCAGCCCTATTTACAACAACCAAGCTATGGAAACAACCTCAGTGCCCAAGGCCAGAGGATTAGGAAGATGTGACCTCTATACACAGTGGAATACTACGCAGTCGTGAAAAGGATGAACTCTTGCTATTTGTGACAACATGGACAGGTCTGGAGGGGATGATGCTGAGTAAAATAAATCGGGGAGAAAGACAAATACTGGATGATTTCACTCGTAGGTGGACAATAGAGAAATAAAGGAACTTACAAAATTAAGCACAACATACCCTAGAAATATGACTGCAGAACCGAGACCACAGAGGCGCAGTGAAGTGGGGGGCGGGTCTGAGGACTGTGGGTGTCTTGGCGGTGAATGTGGGGAATGCATCTGAAGGGCTGTCAACCCAAACCCCTAAATCACATACAGTGTTGTCAGCAAATGTCACGTCAATTAAAAATTGATCATTTTTTTAAAAAGTGAAGATTTGCCATTATCGGGGAATCCTTTATTCAAGTCTCTGATGTCCGCCATCAGCTGGTTTCGAGTAAACCGTGTTAGTCGGGATGACCCGGGGGCCAGGTTCAAACAGCTGACCGGGGTTCAGAGCAGAGCTAGGTTGCCAGAAGTTCTGCCCACAGGCCACTCCAGTGGCCCCTGTGTCCTGGCCTGCCCTGCCCACGCGCCTGCCAACTGCAGCCTCCTGGGGGCCCCGCGTTCCTGTAAGTCACTCCCTGTGATGAATCTCTGAGTAGAAACCAACCGGTGCCGCCTCTCTGGCTGCACCCTGACTGCTACCGCCGTGTAGGAAGCAGGTGCCTCTGGGCGAGTCGTATGTGAAAGTTCCTATTCGACAGAGCCACGTGTCCACTGCTGGCCATGGGGAGGACAGAGGAGGGGGGCAGGAGGCTGCCGTGCAGGGTGGGGTGAGACGTTGCAGGAGGATGGAGGAGTAGGAGAGGAGCAAAGACAGGACTCAGCGCTGCTCCTGGGGCCCATCCCAGCTCGGAACCCCGAGCCGGACTGTGTGGCTTTGGGAAGATGCTGGAAGGTCTGTCTATGAGGGCAGCGGGGCGAGAGCCACCCCTTCGTGCTTCCTGCGTTCCTGTTTCTTTCTCCTCCTCCTCCTCTGACCTGTTATTATTACGGTTGTGCTCCAGGGGCCACAGGAGACGGGTTCCAGGACCCCAGCTCCTACCCCTGGGGCTGCGCAGTGTCTGCCACGGCCGCTCGGCCCCTCCTCCCTGCGGCTCCCCCCGCCTCCCTGTAGTGTCCACTCTACTTCCCGCGTTGGGACACGACGGACAGCTTTTGTTCTATTCATTAAACATATTTTCCATTTACTGGGGATGGAAATAGACACGTTGCTAACTCCCGACAGAGGTTTCCACATCACAAAATTGAGAAATCCGCGCTTTCCCAGACCCACAGGCCCAGCAGCCGCCTCGCCTGACCCCGGCAGCACTTGGAAGGAAGATGCACGTGAGAGAATCGGCGTGGACGCCCCAGAGGTGCAGGGCGCGTTCAGATCCACCCGGCTGGGGCTTCAACCTTGGCAGAGCCCACGTGGGAGGTCGCTGTGTGTTTTCTAGAAAGACTCTGCACCCCGTGACGCCCCTTGTCAGGAGGGTGTCGGGAACGCCGGGGTCTGCTTCTCGTTAGGACGAGTGAACAGCACCACAGACACGCCCGCGAAGGGTAAAATTAGAACGGGGCACTAACAACTATGGCAAAAACAAAGTTTATTTTCACCTCTGCTCCCTTCATCCTAAACTCATGTCTCCGTATGTCGCTCGTAATAAAACCCCGCAGGATGTTTAGGACCTTCCTTTGCCCGTGAGGCTGGCGACTTGGTTTCCGCTCACGAGCGCTGAGGTGCAAACTTCCTTTCTTCCACAGTCTCCGACCGAGCGTGGCGCTGAGAGGAAGGGTCAGGTCCTGCCTCTTCCTCTTCCGCTGGGTGGTCTGAGAACTCACCCAACTGACTGGGTGAATTCGGTGATTGTGATAATAAATTGATATCCGGGACTCGACACTTGATAAAGAAGGAAGAAAGCAATGAGATAACAAACGTGTTTAACTAAGAGCAACGAGCTGTGTCATCTGAGAGTCCTTCAAGCTCTTGACCCTCGAGGCTCGCTCCGCGGGACAGAACAGCCGTGGCCTCGCCAGGCTGGGGCGAGGCCGAGCCACGTGGGCTTCATCCTAAGGACCAGGGGTGTGGGGGCGAGAGACGCGGGTGTTTGTTGGAACGTCACACCAGGAACCCTCCCCTTCTCCTGGACGGCTGGAGTGGACGCAGCGAGGCGACCCAGAAGCCTCTCGCCCGTCACCGCGAGGACGGCGCTGGGGGTGTGGCCGGCATCGCCCACGGCGAGAACCGCGTGGGGTGGGCGCCGCCAGGGCTCACTGGTGACCTGGGGATGGCGCCGCCGACGGCCCCACACTGCGGGCTCGGCTCCCAAGGCAGACGTGCTTCTCAGGGGCTGCGGAGCGACTGGACACGCAGCAGTTTCACTGGAGAGCTGAGTTTCAGGTGAGCTTGAGTCTCCCGGAGAATGGCCAAGAAGGCAGCTGGAGATACAGCGCAGGACTCAGAGGCCAGGCAGGGGAGAGCCGTTCAGCCAGAGATGTGCTCGCAATCAAAGAAGCAAGGACACGATTAGAAGAGACTCCTACTGTCAGCATTGGGGGTGCTGGGGCAGCCTGAGGGAGGCGGGCTTGAGCCTGAGAAGATGATCGAGAACCAGCAACAGAAAGGGGGCGCGCAGCTGCAGGAGCCGCCTGACCTACGGCCAAGGGAAGAGAAATAACGCAGGTAGCCGAGGACTGTGGACGCGGGACAGGACAGCTGTGGTGAGGGTCTGGAGGATGCTTCCAGGCCGCAGTCAGCAGCTCCCGTGAAGGAAAAGGCCCGGGAGCCCATCCAGCAGGCAGCCGCGCGGGAGCAGAAGGGAGTGGGAGCAGCGCGGCAGCCCGTCCTTTTGAGAAGTTGGGTTACGCGGTGGGGACAGCAGAGGAGTGACTGGAGCCCATGAGCTGCCTGGAGCCGTCACCGTTGACGCCTGAGAAGGAGACAGAAAGACTGAGAAACCGGCAGGAAGCTCCAGCTGAGAGACGGGGAGAGAGCGTGAGGCCTTGAGCATCAGAACTCGTAGGACTCGCTTCTGAGCCCCGATTCCGAGCACGGACGGTTCAGCCCCGGCGTGGAAATTAGCCTTACTTCAGAGGAACAACCTTCTAGAATTTTTGCAAGAAGGAATTTAACAATAAAACGTGTCCCTAGGTCACAATCACCCTCCTGGACAGCCCTCAGCGGGTCACACCCTGCAGTGTCCCCGCAGACGGCTCCTCGCAAGGAGAGTCCCGTCGCAACACACTTCCCGCAGCCGGATTTGAGGACGGCCATAAAGGTGGCTCCGCGGCAGACGGCGAGGGCGTGAGCGTGGCTCTGGAATCGTCTCTCCCCTCTGCAAAGATGGGGAATGAGACTCAAGACATTCATGTATTCATAGAAAATTGGGACATAGGTGGGTAAACAGAGCAATTTAATTAGCATGATTCTCCAGGCAGGAGCAAATGGTCTATTTGAGTTGGGTTAATGAACTCTTCCCGGGCACTGAGTAGAACCGAGGCGTCTTTAAAGGATTCATTGACCCCATGGGGATGAGCCCTTTTTCTATCAGAGAGCCCTTTATTTACCAATCTTCGCACGCCGCAGGAGGGACGCGCGCTTGCGAGGTAGCAGCTCCCCATCGGAGCCGGCAGCCTCTCACACGCTTCACGCCCCGCGCACAGAGCCTTCCTGGGGGGACGTGACCTCCAGCCCTGGGCGTGTCGGCCGCCTTCTGCTGACGAGGGGCCCAGAAAGCGGCAGGGACTTCCTGCTCCCCGAGGCCACCTGTCCCGGGGGGCCCGGCCTGGTGCTCACCGGCGCGGGAGACTGGGGGGCGAGGCCGGTTTGAGGGGTGCTTGGTGAGCATCCCCTTTACACCGGCGCCCCGCGTCTCTGCAGAGAAGACATCGGCAGGCTGCCCCCCGCCCTCCGGCTTCAGGTGGCCGCGGCGGTGGGGTAAGCCAAGCAGAGGCCCCGGCCTCTCCGCCACCGACTGCAGTGCCACCCGCGGGGGTGTGATGGCATCCTGTCTCTGGGGCTCAGGCATGGCAGAGGAGAGGAAAGTGCACGACTCGGTTTTCCCCTTCATTTACCTGGCGATCACCCACTTTTCCGTGTGCATCGGCCGTTGCCACAGGCCAGGCGTGCAGACGCCCCAGCGTGGGGTTCTGTGAGGCCCCCTGTAGGGTTTCCGGGCCGGGGAGTTGGCACAGATGTGAGCCCCGGCTGGGCGTCGCGGAGTCCTCGTCTCTCCCCAGGCGCCTCGGGGCCCCCATGGCAGGCTGGCCTGAGAGCCTGCGAGTAAGAGGGACGCATCCCAGAGGCCGCGGCTCTGCCCCTCCTTTGGCTCGTGAGGTGCACAGCCTTCCTTCCCTGGGAATAGCACGTGCCGCACCCGGCGTCTCCGCCTCTCAGAAGGGAGTTGTGTGAGCCATGGGGCGGGACAGACTGGTGGGGGCCCCCAGGGACCCTGGCATGTCTGTCCCCGAAGCTCCACCCTCCGGCAGGCCACCAAGACTTGGGACTGGTCAAGAGCTCTTTGCAGGAGGAGAGTGAGCGCGGTCGGAGCTGAGGGCAGGAGCGCGCCAGGTGGATGGAATTCTGAGAAGCAGGTGGCCAAGGAGGCGGGGCCGTGGCCAGAGGGTGGGCGGGGGGAGCAGGCAGAGCAGGGCAGGACCTGGCGTGGAACACGGGAGAGGGAGGCTCCCGGGAGGCGGCGGGGGCTTGGCTGAGCTGGCAGGGGGACCAGGCAGGCCGCTGGCTGGCAGGGACAACCTTTACCCTTCAGAGCAACAACCAGAAGCCGGGGAGAGCACACACGGCCAGTCAAGAGGCCAGGGCGGGCCGGAAAGGTGCTGCCACGACTCCATTGCGGCGAAGGCGGGTGACAGAGGAGGGGCGCAAGGTGGAGCAGAACCGAGAACATGCAGAAATAAACACGGAAATCAGAGCCTCGCGTGGACGGACTCCAGGACACACCCTGGATCAAGACTCTGCAACGTGCCTTCCTGTCCAGCTGCCCTGGCGTCCAGATGCCAGAAAGTCCTCTCGTCGTCACCTGCCACCCGCATCTTTTCTTTGCAGAACAGCTTGAGCATAAAATAATCTTACGGTTAAAGAAAACCGCCCATGGACAGGATTTCTGCCCCAAACGCTCTCCTTCTGGGTGCAGGAGTTGGAACTACGAAGACCTAATCAATTCGATTTTATTTC